CCCCAAAACCCCAAAACCCCAAAACCCCTTAAGGTAAATATTTGATTTCTTGAGTATTAAAGCAATATATTGCCAAATAAATATTTTATCAACGTTTATAAGCATTTCAATAAATCATAAATTAGCCTTTGCCTTTTTATTTTTTTTCTTCTCAAGTTTTAATGCTTCTTCTTCATCTGTAGTAGGAAACAGCTTCCTCTCTAATTTTTTGTTAAATTTATCCTACTTTTTAAAAGCTGACTTTAATCTGTTTAAATCTTCATGGACTATTCTGTACCCTTCTTCGTTATTTGCTTAGATTTGATTCCTAAAATCCTCAAGTTTCTTGTAAATTTTCTATGTTGAAGTATCTTATTTCTCTGTAAGTTAAACTTTGACCTTTTCAATAGACTTTTTAATATCTTTAACAAATCCCTACCATTCTGCATCTTCCCCTTTCATAGTATTATTCTTAACTCTTCTCAGGATAAAATATTTAGGGAAATGAGAATCACCTTTGCCGTAACGACTATAGTGCAATTCACATTCATATATCAGTTTTGCCTTTGCCATATAAGATTAAGCAACCATTCTTTGCATAATCTTTTCATAAGATTAGGAAATAACGGCAATAATGAAGTTCAATAAGATGATATTTAAGAATAGTACTGAGGTAACCCAAATTATCCATGCGAATTATACATGATATTTATCTAAATTATGGAAGTTGTCAACTTAAAAATCACCCGTAGATGCTCTAAATGACATTATGTAATAGCCAAAATAACTTATACCTTCATATTCTATGTTATCTTCATCTGTCTTTATCTCCAAAAGCGTAAATATCAAACCATACAGAACTATAACTATTCCATACAATGCAATAAAGAACTTAAGATCTACAAAGACTGCCCTGAGCATCTAAACAAGAAAACTGAATCCTTAGAAAATTCTCAAATATGAAAAGAACTTTATGAATACAAATATCAAGCAGATTGAATACAAAAGCCTTTCAATACCCATATGAACATGCATCAAATCAATTGTAGCAGATCCTGCGTACAATAGTATCAAGAAAATATCCACATAATTCCAATATTCAGATAAATAACTTAAGATTCCTTAGACCAATATCGTTTTGATCTCATATTGAATTTGGAAGAAAATATAAGCTGCTCCAATGACTTTAAGAGCCCATTATTGATAGAAACTTCTATCATCCTCGTACAAAACCAAGAAGTAAATGTCGACAATAAAGTTTACGAGGAAGACGAAGAACTGCAAGAATGATAACAAGTGAAATTTGAATGCATACTTGTCCCACTTAAAGCTGAGAACAATTTGAATTAGCTCTGACTCAAATAAGTCTTCGTTATTTGACTGTTCCAACACTTACATGAATTAAGCATCAGCAAATGAAATTGGAATCATTGGTAAGAGATATTCGATTTGATGAGTCGATCCCTCTTCATTCTTCTTGACATGCTTTTTAACTTCATCTTTGTAGAAATAGTTTATCGTTGCAAGACTAGAAGTCTGGTCAAATTCAGATATATAGAAAGTAGCTGGGTCTTTTGAATATTAAGGATAGTAAGAGGTCTCTATACTGCAGATAGGCAATTTAGAATTCAGATATTCCTTGAGGTCAAAATTTTTAGAAATCAGATAAATCAGATTCTTATCAATGATTGAGTTAAACATGCTGTGGTTTTAGAATCTTACCATTAAGTCTAAGGCAAAGTTGATTTTTTAGTAATCATCATTTATCACATAGTAATCAAGAGGACTAAGACCTTGCTCATTATTGACAAATAACATATAATCATGCTAATTTTACTGATTAGATAGCCTCTATCTTATAGCATTAACTACGATGTCTGATTTACCTGCAACAATATGCAGTAATGTACCATTGAATGGATCAATATAGTTTGCAATCTCTCTGAAACTCATTTTATTGATTTTCTAAATTGCAAATGAATCGCTTTTCTTGACATCAACCAGTTCAATCTAATCAATTTAAAGTTAAAGATCTTGCTAGAATGAGACAACGCCTATTGGCTAGTTGCTAAAGTCCTTAAAGATAATGAGACATTCATCCAAGTCATAAGCGACATCAAACTATCCGTAATTCAATCTGAAATATGATTCAAGAAATCCTTCAAAAACATAGTACATCTTTTTACCTTTTCTCTTAGGGTTGTCCATTGATAGAGTCAATTAGTTAAGTTAGTAAGTCAATGAAAAAGCCCTTTTCTGATTTTAAATTTGAATCTTACCCATAAAGGTTTTCCCTCTAAGATCGTAGATTAAATATTATTCATAGAGATCTATCATCAAAAATTTATCTCTTACTACCAATGATTAACTCTCGTATTACTTGTACTAGAGTATGTCTAATTTTTCAAAAAGCTGAATGTCTTTAATGTACTGGTCAAGACTCACAGCTTGATGTTCAACAATTGCCTTTTCTTGAATTTCACAGAATTTCAAGAAATATCTTTTAAGTTTAACATCCTTTTGAATGTACACGAATTGCTTTGGAGAAAATCTTACTAAAGTGATAAAGTCATCAATTATTCTATGCTCATGATCATTGAACATGTCTTCTACATTGAAAATTTTGGCTTGGTTGTTGATATCAATAATGATGATTTGAGATAAGCATTCAGAAAGATGGACTCTCTTAATTTCTTGCTCATTTTCATAAATCTTGAATGAGAAAGATTGTTTCTTATCCTTATCAAAAGCAACTAGATTGATTTGAGTATTTGGTTTTTCAGGGATGTTAAAATCCCATAGGTAGTTCTCGCATTGCTTAATGTAAGAGGTGAATATACTTTTCTCATAAAGTTGTATGTATTGCAAATTAAGCTGTTCAGCAGGAATATCGACTATCTCGGATTGCATGAAATCACAATTAGTAACATAGTATTTATCTACAAATGTATCTTTGAAACTTAGGTAACTCTGATTCTGCTTTGGAGTTCCAGTGAAATTTACCAATAAATGTTTTCGTGAAAGATTTACACTACATTTCTTGATTTCAATTTCAGAGAGTTTCTTCTAAATCTTTTCAATCTATTTCATTTCAAATGGTTCATATCCAATCATTTTTAGCTAATACTATTGATCGAATTTAATCACCTCCAAGTACTTGCTGCTATCGTCATCAACATTCATAAAGCAGCATATAAGATAGTCATCTTAGATATAGTTGTAGTAAATATCTTGTGGACTAGTAGCATATCTACCTTCCATGATAGGATGAGTAACTTAGTGCTCTCTTTCACATAAGTGAACTCTAAATAGATCTTTACCTTCACCGTTACTCCTATCAACATAGAAGTATATTTGATTGTTGTAAGAGTCATACTATACCAAAGTCTAAGGAAGTATATTGTTAAAGTTTTCAAGCAACTAGGGCTCAATGTCTAATTTTTTCATTTACTTTTCAACTTTAAATAGACTTTTCTTGTTAATAATTAAACCTTTATTGCATATAGTGTTTGGACTGTTACAAATGAACTAAGATATGTCTTCTTTATCGTCAAAGCTGTCAATAAAGTCTTTCTTTTCGATATCGAAAACTTTGTCTATCTTGAATGAGTTGCTTACTATCATTAGGAATTCTCCACAGTGAATCAAATTTAGTTCGGTTGTTTGAATATTGTATTACTACATTTGAATATGTTCCTTTACCAAATTAATGTGGTATTTGTAATTGTAGCCGAATAACATCAATTCATTTTTACCAATGTAAGACACCAGGAACGTATTCTATACATTATCAATTGGATATTTGTCAGTATCAGTTTGTATCTTAAACTTTACTAGCTGAATAGTCCTAGTATCAGGTTTTTTTTCCATGTTTAGAATAATGAATTGTTTGTTATCATGTAAAAGAAATTTATTGTGTTTGAGTACTCTAAAAACTACTTTTTGATGGGCTTGTTCTAAAGGTAAATTGAGAGTTCCTACTTTTTCAAGAGTTGGAATGGTATAGAGTACTAACTAAAAAATGTATTTACCCCATTCTGATACTACTGATTTCTCTTAATAGACTTTGAAGTCAGGTATAGGATCATTGTTTGATTCATCTTTGAAAAAGTTCGGTGTATTATCCGAATAAAAAGATGAGTAAATTTTCATTTTTTCTTCAGCTTTGTAACTTCCTATAAATCCTTCACCCTGCTTAATTTCTATATTATATAGTACGTCAGAGTAGACAAACCATGTGTGAGTTCCAAGAAATTTAAGTTTTTCTGAATTTTTAAACTCCTTTAGTTTTTACACGTGTTCCTTGTAAGATTTCAACTGAGAGTCGACTTCCATAAATTGGGTAAGCATTCCTTAAGTTTCTTTGTCTTATTTACTAAAATCATAGTTTGTCTTTCCTGATTTCATAATACTATCAGTAATGGTTGTTTATTTTCTAGATGGTTTACCTTTTTTCTTGTATTCAACAAAATCAGAAATCTTTCTAAACTTAGTTGGTGACTAATTTTCTTCTTCTTCATCATCATAATCTTGTAATCTTTAGTTCTTTGTTAGAGCTGATTAAGTGTATTCGAAATCATTAGAAGTGACTCCATTGTTTTGATCATCTTAGATAAAACTTTGAAATTCATCATGGATTGGCCTGGTTTAATCGGGACTATTTCTTGCAGTTATGGTTCCATCATTGAAGACCTCATCAATTAGTTAGTCTACCTATTATTGATTTTATGTAAGCGGTTGAACAGAGAATTAATTCTTTCTATGAATGTGTTTCTTTTTCATAATACTTCGATAAGAAGATATAAATGGTTATTTGTTTTATTATTAATTATAGTGATACATAGTTATAAAACATCTTTATAAATTAAAAATTCGAAGTTTTAGTGATTAGAAGAGACCTTCATGGAAATTCGAACTTCTAATTATTGATATTTAATATTTATGCATTCACGCTTTCATTTTACTATTTTTAACAAATCTAATAGCCAAGGGGTTTTGGGGTTTTGGGGTTTTGGGG